GGGCCTGGGGGGCGGCTCCCAGTCCGCTGCCAGGTAGCTGAGCCGCTCTCAGGGGGACCCGGGTTGAGCAGCGGTCTGGAAAGAGAGCAGCGGCTGTGTGGGTCTCAGCAGTGGCTGTAGTACATAGTGGTCAGGATCAAAACCTGCGTTTCAGAAGGGGTATAACAACCTCGAAGCTCCCAGACACTAGCCAATGTCTAACGGTTGAGGGCTTGCAGGAAATGTACCTGGGAGCAGATTATCCCATAATGTCAAGTGCAGGGATTCTTGTACCTTCCTGTGAAGAAGCTGGTAATGGCCACGGTTGGAGACAGTAAATTGGATTAGGTGAACCAGTGGTCTGATCAAGTGTGTCATTTCCCATGGTTTATGTTTTCTTTCATCTTTTGTTTATAGTATTTCTTCTTAGGGGTTCCTGGTAACAAGATTCAAAATCGTAAGTGGAAACATGATTTTTCTTTCAAAATCATGACCGGCACTTATTTTTAGAGGGCTATTAAAGATGAAAATTAATACAGGCTGAATCTCTCTAATCCAGAATTTGCTCATCCAGAAACATCCATTGTCCAGAATGATTTTTGTTAGCTAGATGTCCACTTTTCATAATTGTGGCCAAGTTTCCTGCGATCCCATAAAGATTATTTACAGCCACTAGCTCTCAGTGTTCTGTGCTGTTATTTAGCTCTAATTTACCCCTAAATGTCCTCTAACAGCACAATAAGCAGTGGAAGTGTCAGTAATGCTGATAGACAATATTGATTTCCCATGGTCCAGAAAATTCTCCCATTTGGAATCAGTCAAGTCCCAAACTAAAGGGCTGTGTCTAGACTGGCCAGTTTTTCCGGAAAATCAGCTGCTTTTCCGGAAAAACTTGCTAGCTGTCTACATTGGCCGCTTGAATTTCCGCAAAAGCACTTTTTGCCGAAAAGCGTCCGTGCCAATCTAGATGCTCTTTTCCTAAAATGCTTTTAACGGAAAAGTTTTCCGTTAAAAGCATTTTAGGAAAAGAGCATCTAGATTGGCACAGACACTTTTCCGCAAAAGCACTTTTTGCCGAAAAGCGTCCGTGCCAATCTAGATGCTCTTTTCCTAAAATGCTTTTAACGGAAAAGTTTTCCGTTAAAAGCATTTTAGGAAAAGAGCATCTAGATTGGCACAGACACTTTTCCGCAAAAGCACTTTTTGCCGAAAAGCGTCCGTGCCAATCTAGATGCTCTTTTCCTAAAATGCTTTTAACGGAAAAGTTTTCCGTTAAAAGCATTTTAGGAAAAGAGCATCTAGATTGGCACAGACACTTTTCCGCAAAAGCACTTTTTGCCGAAAAGCGTCCGTGCCAATCTAGATGCTCTTTTCCTAAAATGCTTTTAACGGAAAAGTTTTCCGTTAAAAGCATTTCCGGAAATTCATGCCAGTGTAGACACAGCCCCAGAGGTTCAACCTGTACTAGCATTTTAAAATTATGTCACTCCAAGGCTTTGACAGAATTATACTGCTGAGCTATTGGGATTTAAATAATCTCTATTTTTCAATAGATGGCTCTTTAGAGCTTCTGCACTTCCAAAATTAGCATTTCACCACTTGCTCGGTTTTCTGGGTGTAGGATTTCTCTTTTTGGATGCTCGAGTGACTCTATGATTCAGGGTTCTGTGTCAGAGAAGACTTATATTCTGAATCTGGGGGAGAGTTATAATTCCAAACACAGCTGCGAGTGAGCGATACCCTACAGGAAGAAATAGCATCTAGGAAGTGAGAGTTCAAAAGGGACAATGTGGGAATGAGTGGTTTCTTGCAGTATTCAGGACCCTGAATGTGAAAAAGAGGAAAAATGTGAATCTGGTGGTCCTGTTTTTGAGGTACATAATAATGTATGCCTTTGATACTAAATGTTGTAAAGTGTTTGATCTGTATTACAAAAAAAATGTTGAAAATTTGAGAATTCATGCACAGGTGTCCCATGTATTACAACTACAGATGTCATTCCTGGCCAATATGGTAGGTAATCTGAAAGGAATTTAAAATGTTGACATTTAAATTATCATAACTAGATTTCAACCACTATTTAGGAGTTATGGGACGGTCACACTTGTCTAGAGCTGTTGTTTCAGGCTGTCTGTAAATATTATTGCATTGATTTATACTCTCTCAAAACTGAATGTTGTTTTTCCCTGTCATCAGGATCACAGTGTTGTTATTGGGGTTTTTTTAAGGTACATCTTAGATTCTAAAGCACAACATGCCTTCATTTATAAATACATTTTAAAAAAAAGTTCACTTGGCTATTGCAGGCTGGCCTGATTCAATCCTTGTCATAATGAAGTTCTTGGCTCAAGGAAAATAACATTTTCAAAGATATGACACTTTGAAATAGATTGGAATATCTCATGTATGCTGAAGTGTATTTTATTCTCATTATTAAAAAAACTCCTTATTCTTAAAATACTAGTACCTAATTAAATAATGATTATGCTTGCTTGTTTTATATTTCTTTAAATATTTAATTGTAGATACTGCAGAAAGGAACTATTGAAGAATGCTGAGGTCTGTCAAAAAAGCATTACCTAGAAGTGAACAAGCAGATGAGACAAACTACTTAGCAAATTTAGCTGTACAGAGAAATGCAAGTGCCTTCTTTGACAAATTTGACCGAAGTGAGTTACAGGAATTACTCACCACTGCCTCTTGTAGCTGGCTAGCTTCTAAAGATGACCTACGCCAGCCGTTAGAACTTCCCAATGGACTTATGGGCCAGCTAAAAAACATAAGTTTCCCATCTGCAATTTTGCTAGCACCTGTGGTGCCAGATGTACCTTTAGACTGTAAAGAAATCCATCAGATTGTGAGGGAATTGGCTGTAGGACTTTATTGTTTAAACCAAGTTCCTTCCATCAGCTTAGATGCCAATTATGATCACAGCACTTCTTGTCAGCTTCCTCCAGCTTACTTTGACACCAGAATTGGACAAATGTTGATCAGTGTTGACTACATGTTAAAAGCGCTGTGGCATGGTGTGTATATGCCCAAAGAGAAACGTGCCAGATTCTCTGAATTGTGGCGCTCCAGCATGGATATTGATATGGATGGGAATCCACAAACAGAAAAAAATATTTTTTCAGAGTTTTGTTCAGCGGGTGAGTAGCATTTTCAGTCATAATTCATTTAAAGAAAAAATAAACGTACCTGTGATAATTATTTAGCATATTCCTAGAAGCTAGGGGTCATTATTTGGAAAAAAAACAAAACAAAACAAGAAATTGCCTGACAATAGGGAAAGTCATCAAGTTGGAAATGAAAAGAAAAAGTCTTCAAAGATCAGATTTCAAAAGAACTCAGCTCCAGCTGAGGCACCCATATAAAGTGGCCACATTTTCAAAATTCTCTCTGCTGTTCTCTCTGAGGAAAATCAGAGCTGTAGGGTGCTGAATCCTTCTGAAAATGTGGTTCTAAATACTTGGGGGAAATGTATTTATTTAACAAAGGGGTTTTTAGATCACAAACTGTGGCTTTATTATTATTTACAATTAGCTAATATTTTAATATGTAACAGCTAAAATTTAAAATACCTAAATAAAAGATAAAAAGCAACTGAGAAAACTCATGCGGTTCTCACAAATATATCTGAAGAACAGCAGATGGCAGAGGTTGGTAATGAAATATATATAGGATGAAGTCACTGGTTAAAATCCAGCTCAGTTTGGTATTGATTTTACAGCATTACTCTTTGGTGGTTTATGAGAAATCAGTTTGTGTCTTTAATCCAGTTCCAAGTAGGATATATACACATTACAAAACCATGCCAGATGTTGGCAGCAATCACCCGATCCAAGTCCTATTAAAATCAATGAGGGTATGTCTAGACTACAAGCCTCATTCGAAAGAGGCTTTTTCGAAAGAGCTCTTTTGAAAGAGATCGTCTAGACAGCCACGCAACTTGTGAAAAAGCGATCTGCTTTTTTGAAAGAGAGCACCCAGGCAATCTGGATGCTCTCTTTCGAAAAAGCCCTGTTTGCGTTCTTCCTCATAAAATTAGGTTTACTGCTGTCAAAAAACCCATCATGTTCTTTCGATTTAATTTCAAAAGAACGCAATGGCAGTCTAGACGCAGGTGATGTTTTTTCGAAAAAAGGCAGCTTTTTTCAAAAAAACTCTGTAGTCTAGACATACCCTGAGAGACTTTCCACTGACAGAAATAGGCATGGGATCAGGTCAAAACTGGCAGTCTTAGGAGAGAGGAATTCTCTCACCTCTACTGGTTATCCATCAGAACAAGCACAAGACCATTGCCAAGGGAGTGTGCTGCCGCTATAGCTCTACTGTATGGCTAAGCAGAGGGCTTCATTTTCCCAGGGCTATTTGGCATTTAACAAGCACTAAATTTACTCCAGAAAAAGATAATCTAAAACAGAGGCGAGGAACCTTTTTTGGGTCAGGGGCCTCTGACCCTCAGAAAAATCAGTCGGGGGCTGCACTCAAGTGAAAAAAAACAAACAACAAACAAACAAACAATCAAACAAAAACCCCAACAAACCAACAACAATAAAACTTCACTGACGTGGCCCCCAACTGAGAAGGAGAAAGAGACATTCCCTTCACTCACCAGAGCCTAGAGGAGTCCAGGCTAGTAGATTTTTGGGCTGGATTCAGGGAAGCCAGGGCCCTCATTTGGTCCTGGGCCTTAGGTCCCCCATCCCTGATCTAAAAGATGTTGGTGCTAGCAGGATGCCCAGTGAATCCACTAGTGCACTGAAGGAAAGGGTAATTTCCTTAACTCGCCCTGCCCCACCCAATATTATAAAACTGCAGTTTGATTTCATTATATTGTATGTAACAGCAAGGTGATGTTTAATATGTTAATATAAACGTAAATACACATTCTGCAATGTTAAATATAAAAAATATACTTGTCAGAATTAAACAATTGTAGTACATTATTTTTTGTGATGGGCAATAGTGTTTCAAAACATATTTTACTTCTATCCAGTAGATATATGATTATTTATCTATATTTTTCTGTGTGTGATATAGGTCTAGTTGACATTTCCAATGAACCAGGTTTTGAAGGAATCTATGATGAAAACATGAATGAAGATCCAACTTATGATCCTAACAGTGCTCAAGAAAAAAATCTCTTTATGCAGTATGCAGACAGTATACTACTTAAGTTGACATTTGGTACTATACAAGTTCAGCAGCATGAAAATGTGTGTAAATTTGATGCAGTATATGAGCTTTCTAATGTGATAAGATTGACTGAAGATTACCTTGACACAGACACATACCAAAGGTTGCAGCAGAGACTAACTCTTCAGCAAAAACTTGTGAAAAAGCACTTAGAGAAAAAGGCAGAAATACGTAAGAATATTGAATATCTAAAAATATTGAGCTTTCTGATTCCATTTTTACTTGGCTTAAAAAAAAAGATGAAAGTTCCAAATTTAAATCAACTTCTTCAGCCATATTCAGGTAAGTAGCTTATAAATGACCATGTGTGACAGACCCCCCCCCCATACTTTATGACAGGGGTGTGCAACCTTTTTGCATCCAATAAACGGGATCCGGAAAAATTTTCGTTGAGGGGAAAAAAAAAGCATGGCCCCTTTAATTGCCACTTCGCTCTTGCCACTCCCCCCACCCTCATCGTGTGTATGGGTGCCTAGCCAGGAAAATAAAATACTGGCCAGCTCAGATCAAGGCACTGCAACCTCCCCGGAGGACAGCCACAACCCCCCAGGAGGTCGTGACCTATGGGTTTGTGCACCACTGTTTTATGAAATGGACTTATGGACACAAATATACATACCTCAAAGATGCTTTGGGCAAATTATCTCATGTAACCGATCAATCTTCATGTCAATCTGCTGGATCTGTTTATCTTATTTTGGTATCTGTATCATTCTTGTGTGTAAAGTTAGACATATGGAGTATGAAATGCTTTATGATTTTAAATGTGTAAATGGAAAGACATCAAGGATGATTCCATTGCTGGGAGGCCTCAATGTCTGGGCAATCTTATGCCAATAGCCTTTTATCCTTACATCCTAGCAGTGGTTGGTAAGGACTGGCCAAGTGACAATAGGAAAGTAGGAGTGTTTTGTCTTTTGCTGGCACACCGGAGGGAAGGAACCAAAGATCTCAAGGTGAGGAACAGCCCTGGTTTGGAAGGCTTAGCTGAAAAAGAAACAGTTTTAGGGTGAGTTTGTAATAAGTTTGTGTACTGAGGTTTCAGTGTTGGAATTAGCTAAGTGTTTTCTGTTATTTTGAGTCTTAATGCTTGTTCTTAATAAAATCACTTTTATTTTCTATCAAGCCCAATGTAAATAATTTTTTCCTGAGCGGGAGTGGGGGTGGAATCAGTGTGTACATTCCCCTTTTCATTGCTAAAGGAGGCTTTCCTAAATAATTCCTTTGGGGTTCTGATCCCATTTGGGGAGTGGTATCCCAGGAAGCTGTGTCCTAAAATGCACTTTCCTTGGACCTGAAGAGATTCAGTATCTGCACTGCTTCTCTGGGGGACATTGATCTTAGCTTGGTACCTTAGCTGGGGGAGATCAGAGGAGTTGGCCTAGCAGGACTGGTCAGTGAAAAGCCTTAGGGTATGTCTACACAGCCACCCTAGTTCAGACTAGGGTGGCTAATGTAGTCATTCGAACTTGCAAATGAAGCCCGGCATTTAAATAGCCCGGGCTTCATTTGCATGTTCCCGGGCGCTGCCATTTTTAAATGCCTGGTAGTTCGAACTACCTGCCCGTGGCTACATGTGGCAAAGATTAGGTAGTTCGAACTAAGCTCCTAATTCGAACTACCGTTACTCCTCATTGCAGGAGGAATAATGGTAGTTTGAATTCGGAGCTTCAGTTTGAACTACGTAACCCATGCCAGTGTAGCCACGGGCAGGGAGTCCGAACTACTGGCCATTTAAAAATGGCGGCGCCTGGGAACATGCAAATGAAGCCCAGGATATTTAAATATTTAATGTAGTTCGAATGACTACATTAGCCTCCCTAGTCCGAACTAGGGTGGCTGTGTAGACATATCCTTAGAGAGCAGGAAGGTGAGTGGCAGTGGCTTTGTCAGCACTCTGGGTGGCACTTCCCAGAGGTCTTCTGTGACCACAACTCATCACTCCATATATTCTGAAAATTTTAATTTAATAAAATTTGAATTATGTAAGAAAGTGAATGTCTTGGAAGTATGTGGAGAAACTAGTATTTTGTACATTCTGTGAGTAGCAACTGAAAATAACTCTGGTAGATTATTTGGATATTCATTGCATGGCTGTCCCTAGGGCGGCACAGGGCCTGGGGCAATCCCCCCCAGTGCTCCATGGGCCCAGAGCAATCCACCCACTGCAGACCCCACCTACCCTGCCTCTTCTCCACCACAATCCAGCCCCTTCTACCTCTTCCCCTAAGCCCTGCCCCTGTTCCATCTGCGCCCCTTTGCTTCACCCAAATGCCCCCTTCCCTGAGAAACATGAATCGCGAGATTATGGGGGCCTGAGATAGGGCAGCAACAGGGGTCAGCCCTCCCTCTTGCACTCACTGTGGCAGTGGGATCTAGAGCAGCCCAGCTGCCTGCTCTACTCAGCCCTGTCCTGCTGTCCTCTCCCAGCCCATTACGCTCTACTTCTCTGTGACAGCGGGAAGCAGAACAATTGAGGGTCTGGGGCACTCTGCTTCCTGCTGCCACAGAGATGTGGAGTTCAGCCAGCCGGGAGAGAGCATCAAGGAAGAGCTCTGGACCCTGCCACCATGTCCCCTGGCTACCTCATGCCAGAGCCCTGTAATCACCCCCTGGGTCTGTCCTGTCCATAGGACTATTGAGGCAGCTGCAGGGCCCCCAAAGGTGTGGGGTTTGGGGTGGCTGCCACAAAACATCGTATGGAGGGGACGGCTCTGGCTCATTGTATATAGGAAGCCAAATTCATCCCTGATGTAACTGTTGATGTCAATAAAGCTCCAGCAGAGTTGAATGTGGACTGGAATATTTATTCTGAAATAGCATTAAAAGATCATTTTTCAGTGAAACTAACAATATGTAATGTTTTAACACCTAAGATTTTTAGGCAGCATTAAGAAATAAATTATAATGTAATACTTTAACCTATTTTCATGCTCTAAAAAATGTCCTCTTTTTGTAGATGATAAAGTTAAGACTGAACGAGAATTGCCTCCATTTGTGCTTGGTCCAGATTTTAAATGCCAGCATTTTCATTATGTAAAGAATGAGTACTTTCATGTCCATGGAGGAATTGAATTTGATATTGGTACACCTTCTGTTGAAGATGTTTCAGAAGAGATTAAGGTTTTGGTTCAATATCTTTTCGATGATTTATGTGTGTGTGTGTGCTTGCAGCTAATACAGCATAAGGGAATATTCTACTTTGTTAAAAATAACAATGTTATTAAGATGTAATTAAGAAAATTCTGTGCTTATGAAAAAGGTGTTATCCTCCATATTTCTTGTTATGAGAAATATAGTAGAGCCAGGCTAAAGTAATAGTGCAATATTTCCTTATAGTAAATCTTCATAGTCATCAGTTCTCTAATTCAGAGTTTCCCAATTTTATTTGGCCACAGAACCCTTTAAAAAAAAAAAAAAAAAGGCCGAGGGAAACTGGTTAACCCCCCCAAAAAAAGGTCAAACTGTCAAGCAAAAAAAAAACAAAAAAAGCAAGCAAGTGCCAGCCCGCTCCTAAGACCACAATGGCTGGCAACTGCCTGGCTCGCCCATTCCTAAGACCAGCTCAGGGGGGGAGAGGTGATCTGGTTCTTGCAGAACCCTTACTTTCACTTCGCGGAACCATAGGGTTCCGCGGAGCATTATTTGCGAAACGCTGCTCTAGTTCGTAGCACAATTGTTAGTTTTATTAACTTTAGCCGACCATGCAGAGTGCATAAAGCAAGATTTTCCAAGAAGTTAGGCTTGCATATAAAGAGGGAGAATTACATAGCTTTTTTCTCCTCTTTCCCCCCACTCCTTTGTCTTCCTGATACAACACATTCGCACATTTCTCTTTCTTCATCAGTTGCTTTAGTGTGGCTCTGGCTTCAGTTCTCAATCTTCAGTGTACTCCCACCTGCATCTTCACAATTTGTGGAGAATTGGGTGCTCTCTGATTTGCAAAAGGTCTGAATCAGTCCTCCAGAATTATATGCTATACAGAGAACAGGGCTTCTGACCAGGAGCCACAATTATTACCGTAGGGTATGTGTACACTGCAGCACTATTTTGGGATACTTCCAGTATCCTGAAATAGCTATTCTGCGTCTTTTAAGCAAACCCTTTATTTCAAAATATTCTAACATCTGTGTAAACCTCATTCCACAAGAAGTAAGGGACATTTTGAAATAGCACTTTATTTCAAAATTTGGCACTGTGTAGACAGCACCAAATTTTGAAATAAGTTCTTTTGAAATGCACTCGAAATAAGCTACGCAATTTGCTTAGCTCAAATTAGGTATCTTATTTCAAGCTATGGGTGCAGTGTAGGCCCACACTTAGTGTGAAATCTTGGCTCCATTGAAGTCAATGGGAGTTTTTTGTCATTAACTTCAATGGAACTAGGATTTCACCATTAGTCTCTGCTGAACTTTCTGTTGTGTGAGCAGTCAAACATTTACTGATTTTGGGTAATGGAATTCATTCCAGATCATTATCAAGGTCCCTATACCATTTTCAACTTGAATGTTCTTCACAAACATAACTGTACTAGAGGTCAGAGGTCTATCAGGACAGAAGTGAATCCATACACAGAATAATGATTGTTGCTTCCACCTGCTGTGATATAGATATTGGAAAGACTTCTTGGTTACAGAAAGAACATTGTCCAAAAGAATGCATAGCATTCAGGGGACGGAGTGCTCCCTCTGCAACACAATTCATGATATTGTGTCATGTTCATCCTGAGGGAGGAAATGGCTGTTAAAAGTACCACTAAAATGCATTCATTTCACAAGGATCAAACTTCCAGTCTACGCTAAAGGGAAAGTGTGTTAAGCACAGCTACTGCATCCACATTTAATAACTAGATTATAATCTGAGTGAGACTTCACATTGGGTTTGGATTTAACTTTCAACAGTACCTGAAAGCTGTGTGTATAGATGCACAGTGATCAGATCGGATTTTAGTCTATATGTTTGGTAAAACACAGAGAAGATTTAACCAACACTATGGCTCTGGTCAGTTCTTAGCCATTCAAATATTTTATAAATATAAACACTTACAGTTGGTTAATATAACCATTCTTTTGTTTTAGGCTGCCTTTAATGACATACAGAATTGTGCATCAAACCACATAGCCCAGTTGTTAGACCCGGATATACCATATAGAGAACATTACCCCATACCAACTATGGAATTTGATGGAAAGAAGTAAGGAATATGCTGTATATTTAAACTATATAAAACTTGCCAAAGTGATAGTTTAGTTTATTGCAATTTTCAAAACAAATTACTGTATTGATTACTTGAACAGTATGACTATAAATGAAAGAAATCACCACTATCAAGAATAGCAAGTCTGAATAATATTCAAAAAAATGTGATTTGATCAAAATTTAATTATAGTAGTCTAAATAATATTCTGTTTAATGTATTAAAGTAATAAAGGTAATTATGTTACTTTATTAAATTAGTCTAAACACATTTTTTAAAAATCTCATACAATAGTTTGCAAATGTTGATAAAGGTTTTCTTGAAATTATGAAATATTCTTAAATTCTGTTGAAATACAGAATACAGTGAGGATTTTGTCTCAGAAGTATTTTCCAAGACAATATGAAAAGAAACATGTTTTAACTCTCATCAGTTGAACGAACTCACACAACTATATTATAAAAATTAAAGTAAAAGTGAAAAAACAGCCTGAGGCAAATGTTTAGTTTTTAAAATTGTTGTTTGTCATTAAATGTTTGTAATATTAGGGTTCTTCAGGAAAGCATATTTTTATGTAAACATTCAATAATTTTAATTAAGATGTGTTAAGCCTGAAATTAGGATTTTCAGCTGTACTACCTACTGAAACCTTTTTAAATTGTTGATTATTGAGACATGTATAATATAATGATTAGAGCTGCCAAAAGGTTAAAAGTGCTATTAATAACAGAATACAATTGATTTAAATATTTTAGGATGTTTTCTACATTTTTAAATATATTGATTTTAATTACAACACAGAATACAAAGTGTATAGTGCTCACTCTATATTACAGTATTTTTATTACAAATACTTGCATTGTAAAAACTATAAGAAATTTTAGTTTTCAGTTCACCTAAAACAATAACTGTAGTGCAATCTCTTTATTATGAAAGTTGAACTTACAAATGTAGAATTATGTACCAAAAAAACCTGCATTCAGACATAAAGCAATGTAAAACTTTAGAGGCTTGAAGTCCACATAGTCCTACTTCTTCTTTAGCCAGTCACTCAGATAAATAAGTTTGGTTACAATTTGTAGGAGACAATGCTACCCACTTCTTGTTCACAATGTCACCTGAAAGTGAGACTAGGCCTTCACATGGCATGATTGTAGTAGGGATATTAAGGACTAGTCGACTATCCGATAAGCAAATGCTTATTGTATAGTCGACAGGATAGTTGACTAGTCTATCAGATAGAGGCATCAAGGAGAGGGAAGAGGGAGAGAAGAGGAGAGTACTTCAAAGTGGTAGCACTGCGCGGAGCCCGGGGTCAGCTAGGGACTCCCCAGCTGACACCCATGCTCCGTGCAGTGCTGCCTCTTTGAAATGTAAAAGAATTCTTAAAATGAGCATGTGCTGGGTCATAAGTTGGCACCCATGTAATATGGGTAAAACAAAACAGGAAAAATACACTTCTCCAAGGAATTCAGTCAAAAATTTAGTTAAGACTTTTTTTTTTTGGAGCTTCATGAACATGGAAGTATGTTCTCTGAAATGGTGGCCAAAGCACAAAGGAGCATACAAATGTTTAGCATATCTGGCACAAAAATAACTGGCAACTCTGGGTATAAATGTTCCATGCAAACACCTATTCTTTCTTTCAGGAGACATTGTAAACAAGAAGCAGACAGCATTATCTCCCATAAATGTAAGCGAACTTGTTTGCCAGAGCAATTGGCTGAGCAAGAAGTAGGATTAACTAGTCTCTAATGCAGGCTGAATCTGGTCTTCAGGCTGAATATGGCCTCCCATGACTTTCAATCTGGTCTGCCTGCGTCTGAGACACAGAGCAGCGCTGGTCTAAGAGGCTAGCTGTTCCCTGTGGCTGTCTGTGCTGTGGGGGGAAGTAGGAGCGGGGGAAGGCTTTGTGTGCTGCCACCGTCCTCAGCAAAACCTCTCAATTCCTATTGGTCGGAAACTGACAAATGTGAGTTGAAAGATTTTTCCAGGGGAGGGAGCAGTGCGGCACAATTCTCGCTTAGACCCCCCCCCCATGCAATCCTGCATTCCAAGTCCTCTACCCTGAGCTCCTTTCTACACCTAACCTCCGTCCCAGACCCAGCACCCTCTCTATAGAAAAGTGTGGCCCTTGACCACTTACCAAAATTGTGGAGTGGTTCTGTGACGGAGTGCGGTCACAGATGACCCCTCGGGGTGCTGACACGGCCACTGCCACTTGCCTTCCTGCTCTCTGGGGCTCCTCACTGCCCGGTCCTGCTGGGCCAGCTCCGCTGGTCTCCTGCAGCCAAGGCCCTGAGCTAAGGTCCCTGGCCCCACCGAGAAGCAGTACTGACACTGAACCACTCCAAGTCCAAGGAGAGTGCAGTTTAGGGCCCAGCCTCCTGAGAGAGCAATCCCCAGATGGTATCAAACCTCAAAGAATTAGGTAAGCCCCCTTTCGCAATGAAAGGGGGAATGTGCACACTGGTTATCTCCTCCCTCCCCCCCAGGTAACAATCACTTACACTGGGTTTGACAGAAAATAAAAATGATTTTATTAAGTTGAAGCAGTAGGATTTAAGTAGTAATAAGAGAAAGCAGGCAGAGCAAACTAGGTTACAAATAATCAAAAGAAACAAAACCGCTTCGCTAATTCTCCACTGAAACCTCAGTACAAACTTAAACTCACCCTAAAACCTCTTTTCCAGCTGCCACTCTAAACCAGGGCTCTCTTCCCCACCCTGGGGTCTCAGGCTCCTTCCTTCAAGTGCAGCCCAACCAAAAGACCTAGGCCGCTTTTCTCCTATTCTTTTTGTTAAAGAATTGAGGCCCCTTCCTACCAACCACTACTCAGACTGAAGGACTGAAGTAACACCCTCCATGTCTCTCATTCACATGTTTGAAACCCACAAAGTATTCCCTACTCCATATGTCTAATTTTCCACACACAAATGGTACATACAACAGAGTAAGATAAACAGAACCAGCGGATCATGACATGAAGATCGATGGGTTACATGAAATAATTCACTCAAACCACCTTTGAGTTATGTATATTCCATGTCCATGAGTTCATTTAATAAAACATGGAGGGAGGGTCCATCACAGGTTCCTCATCAAAAAGTATTGCCCTCCCCTTGCTCTAAAGTTTTACATTGTTTTGTTTCTGTGTGAAATTATATAACAAAAAAATTCTACATTTGCAACTTGCACTTTCATGATAAAGAGATTGCGTTTCAGTACTTGTACGAGGTGACAAAATGCTGTATCTCTTGCTGTATCACTTTTATAGTGCAAATATTTATAATCAAAATAATATAAAATGAGCACTCGGAGCTAGCAGCCAGGCTACGTCTACACTACAAGGTTTTTGTGCAAAAATCTGCAGAGCATCCACACCTCAAGCGCGCTTTTGTGCAAGAAAATCTACAGACAATCGACAGAACAGAGGGCTTTTTATAGTGTAGGTATACCTCCTTCTACAAGGAATAACTCCTTTTTGAGCTACAACTCTTACACAAGAAGGCATGTGTGGACGCTTCGCAGGGGTTTCTTGCACAAAAAGAGCCTATACAAAAAAGGACAGGTGCTCTGATGGCCATTCTTTTAATGGCAATCAGAGCTTTCTTGCGCAAGACTGTCCATGCAGTGTGGACGCTCTCTTGTGCAAAACCACATCGCAAAAGTGATGCACTTTGAGGTGTGGACGCATTTTTGAGGAAGAAGTTTTTGCACAAGAATTCTTCCGCAAAAGACTTCTTGCGCAAAAACCCTGCAGTGTAGATGTAGCCCCAGTGAGGCTGGAGTTCCAGGGCATCTGCAGTGGACCTGGCACTTGCAGCAGGAGTCTGCCCTCTCCCCGCACTCACCAGCAGCAACAAGGGAAATGAAACAAAGTGGCTCCAGCTCATTCTGCTCTCTCGGCTGCATTGCTCAAAGGAGAGGGTGGATTGCTTGGGAAGTAGAGTGATGTGGCTGGAGAAGGCAGAGTGAGGTGGGGCCACATTGCTCCATTTTCCCCATCACTGCCAGTGAAAGTAGGGATGGGGATCCACTACCAGCGCTGAACTCCCTGCCCCGCTACTCTCCCACGCCGCATCTCTTGGGGAAGGGTCTTGAGGGAAGAGGGTGAGGTGGTCTGAAGTAGAGTAGGGGTGGGGTGGAGGCAGAGCAGGGACAGGGAGAGATGAGGCCCGAGGTAGGGGAAGTTATCTGGCCCTTCCCCAGGGTGGTAGTGAACGGGCATGTGGCTGGTGTCCCCCCATGTCTTTCCTCACCATTTGCCCCTGTGAGCACTGTATATTTTGTATCCTGTGTTGTACTAGAAATCAATATATTTGAAAATGTAGAAAAAATCCAAAACTATTTAATACATTTCAGTTGATATTCTGTTGTTTAACAGTGTGATTAATCTCGATTGATTTTTTTTTAGTTAATCCTGTGAGAAAACTGCAATTTATCGACAGCCCTAACAATAATGATTTTTGTTTATATATTTTACCAAAAATATATATTTGTTTATATATTTAGTCAATGACAGTAAATTTTAAATATTTTTGTATGTAAAGACACAGAGACAAATCCTCATTTGGTGTAAAGTGGTGTAGCTCCAATAGCTTTAAAGTTAGTCAGACAACATATATCATTTTAGGGCCTGCCTATGTGTTTTGATTTTATATATAAATGCATAAAGTACACAAAGGAGCTAAAATGTTTCCTTTTAACATTTTTTGTTGTTGTTTTTGTTACAGATACTATGTGATCGCCATTGAATTGGAAACTTTTTATCAGCAGCTATATAAAACCCCATGGTGGGTTGCTATAAATGAAATAATAAGCACACTCAAGCCTAAAAGGCTTCCATTAACTGATATCCAGTCACTGGAGCAATTCAAGAAAAGATTTGGTTATAAGAAAGCTATTAAATGCAAGGTATTTTACTTATTGTATAATTGTTTTTCTTAAAAATATTTATACTCTGGAAAGTAACTCTAAAAATGGCTTTATGTTTAATGTGTTTCAATGATTCTTGAATAAATTTGCACAATTTACAAGTAAAATAATGATTTTTTTATAACTGCTAGTAGTGCAGATTCCACCTGGAATCTAAAAGTGAAGCTGTATTCTTTGAAGCTTATGCACATCCCCAGTGATGATTCTGCAGGAAAAATTTTGGCTTCAGTAACATCTCTCTATCCTCACATTCTATTCTTGTTTATACTTGAGCAACCCAATTCTCTTTAATAACATTAAACCAGTATAACAAAGGACAAAAATTTGACTATGCACTTGTAATTCGGATGATTGCTCTATGAATTATCAATAGAATAGAAATCAGCTCGCTCTGCTACCATACATAGCTGATGCTGCAGCATAAACAGGAGTAAAATGTAATAAAATGTTGTTTTAGTCTCAAGTAAGTAGATGTGATTTTGAATCCACAAGAGGCAGATCCATTGAGTAGTATGCTGCCATTTTACATAGTAATTTTCAGGGTCCAGCTCTTAATTTGGTATAAATTGATACATTTACTGAAGGCAAAAGAGTTAAGTGGGTTTATGTCTGCTAAAGATCTGGTCCTCAGGATAGATTAGGGTTGCCAGGTGTCCGGTTTTGATCTGGACAGTCCAGTATTTGAGCTTTCTGTTCGGGAAACAAATTGTGAAAATGTAAATAGAAAATATAAATGTCTGGTATTTTCTAAATAAGATGCAATGTAGATTGTAATGTAATGTCAAGTGTGTCCGGTATTTTTGTTGAAACCATCTGGCAACCCTATGGTAGATCCACAGTTTAAGAATTGGAGATTGCCTCTTTCCAGTACCTCCTTTTCTAGTAAATGTTTTATTCCTCTTTGACATGCTGTCTATTATTCTGTTTAAATGGATTTAGAGTTTACCTTATGGTATGAAGTCTGCTGCTGAAAGAGGACTAGCTGCTATCTTCCATACTTTTTGTCGTAAAACATCTACTTCCAGTCTCAGTGTTGTAGATGAATATGGTTATGCTCTTCTCCATCATGCTTCTATACACAACCGTGTGCCAATTATCTATCAGATGATTAAATCTCATTTGAATATCAATCAGAGGCGCAATGTTCACTATAACCCAGGTATATATAATATAATATAATATAATATAA